GGGGTGGGACAGGGGCCCCATGCAGCGTGGGTCAGTGGGGGACAGCAGGGTTCGCCCCGCCACACAGCAGCACCGAGTCAGGGATTTTTTTCCCCCCAAAGAGCCAGGAGCTGGGGTGGGCATGGCAGCCATTGCCAAACAAGGGGGGGGTGGGGGGAGAGAACGGGCCTGGCTGATTCAGAGCTTCGGCAGCAGCTGAATCTCCAAATCAGATTCGGTCGAATCGAATCAGGACAGCGATTCAAATCACCAAATCGAATCACTGTTCCCTGAATCGGCTCAATCCGAATCCTAAGCGAACATCAGCTGCTTTGCACAGGCCTACTATTTACATTTTTTTTCCAGACTGAATATCCTATAAAAGGAGAATACGCTGAAACTTTCAAGAGTTACTGTAGGAGACCAAACTCCCATGTCAATCAGATTTTGATTCATCTCCAACTTGTGGGTATAATGCTAGTGATGCAAAAGTATTTTCCCAACTCTCTCTCTAATTGGGAAGCCAGACATTAAGGCAATAAAGCACCCCAACCCTATCTTTGTTGCAGTAAAATGAGACCACTGAAGAAGATCAATAATTAAGAGCATTAAGTCAATGGACTTCACTACAGATGTGACTGAATTTTTCCTTCACAAATCTGAGTTAGATGATGACATTTCCAAAGACCCTTATAGCTTAGTACTGATGCAGTATCTTCAGTTTTGTTTCTCACAGTTCCCATGTTCTGACATTAATGGCTTTTTTGTTCATTTCAAAATATGTGGGATTAATTGAATGATGCATCTTAAACTAAACTTCACGCAGACTATTTGACAACAGCACATACTTCACAACAGCATAAGAGAAATATGCAAACTTTTATTGTTTTATTTGGAAATGATAGTTTTCTTGAGTAAAGGTAAAGAATAAAACTAGGCTTGACTCTTAGAACACTATCATTTGCCACAGCATCATAGGACCACTGCCTTTATCATTTTCTCAACTTTTTCAATTGTCTAGATATTCACATCAAAATTTAAATTCAGTAAAAAAAATACTTGGCACATTCTGGTGACCTTCAGGCTCCAGAAAATATGTTTTGATTAGTTCCAGAATACATTGTCTTGCTTGCCTAAACTACTAGGAAATGTTCAACCCTCTAGATCCACCCTACATACAAAATTAGGAAACTGATGCAGTTGTGAAATAAGAATGTAAGTACAAATATATTCTAAATGTGAAGAAAGTAGTTAAGCATATTGCACATGTTTTTAAAAGTCTACCAAAATTCTCAAGGATGGATTCTAGCTGCAAATGAAATGCTTGAAAGTCTAAATCTTCAAACACAATAATGTTCTATGCAGTTCTACAAAAACTAGAAGATGCCCTTAAAAACAGCATGTAGTATGTTTACACAGCTGAATAGTACAGGTGTGTGAAATTTTGCTGGCTGTTTCATTTTGATGCTGCTTCAACTCATTTTGAGCTCGAAACAGCAAAATCCAAATGAAACAGAGTTTTGAAACAACCTCAAAACGAAATGAGGGCAGTTGAAACATTTACAAACATTTAGAGTTTTGAAGCTGAAGCTGGGCTTGCCTGCAGAGAAACAGAAAGTAAGGAGAGGGAGGGGGCAGGACTGCTCTGATATTGACTGTGTAGCTGGCCAGTGACTGTGATCCTTCCCTGAGGACTCTTCCAATCCCAGTGCCCTTAGGGAGGGGTGGAAAAACAGCATAAAAGGCAGCATTGTTTGAACAGGGTTGCTTTCTGCCTCAGGGTAAGTTACTGAGCTATCTTCCAGAAGCTCAGCAGCTTTGTTGTTAGACAACAAAGGCTACTACCACTGATTTCCTACTTGCTAGCCTAGCAAGTGGGATTCAGCAATACCTTTTGCTTTCTTTCTAAACCCTTTTATTAAACAAAAGCTTTGTTATAGTTTCATAGTTTCTAGGGTCGGAAGGGACCTGGGCAGATCACCTAGTCCGACCCCATGCCATGGCAGGAAAGAGTACCGGGGTCAAACAACCCCAGCAAGATGGTCATCTAATCTCCTCTTAAAAACCCCCAGGGTGGGAGCCTGCACCACCTCACTTGGAAGCTGGTTCCAGACCCTAGCCGCCCTGACCGTGAAGTAGCGCCTCCTGATGTCCAACTTAAACCTTCCCTATGCCAGCTTGTGACCGTTATTCCTGGTCACTCCTGGCGGCGCTCGGGGGAACAGGGACTCCCCCAGTGCCTGTTGATCCCCCCTGACTAGTTTATAGCAGGCCACAAGATCCCCCCTCAGCCTTCTCTTCTGGAGGCTGAACAGGTTCAGGTCCCGTAACCTTTCCTCATAGGACCTGCCCTGCTGTCCCTTAATCATGCGAGTGGCCCTCCTCTGGACCCTCTCGATGCTGTCCACATCCCTCTTAAAGTGCGGCTCCCAGAACTGGACGCAGTACTCCAGCTGCGGCCTGACCAGTGCCGCATAGAGGGGAAGGATCACCTCCTTGGTCCTGCCTGAAATGCATCTGTGGATGCACGACAAGGTACAGCTGGCCTTCCTAGCCGCCTCCCCACACTGCCGAGCCATGTTCATCTTGGAGTCAATAATGACTCCAAGATCCTTTTCCACCTC